GCCCGGGTCTGGAAGGCGATCGAATAGAAAAAGGACAGAGTTTCGTGGACTGAGCGGCAACGGTTTGATTAAGACCAGAGACTTGGGCCTGGATAGTCTTGAATGGAAGTTTGACGAGGTTGAAAAGTCTCTCCGTAATAAAGGTTGCCTCGGAACCAGAGTCGATCAGGGCTCGCGCCTGGAAATTGCACCCTAAATGGCAAATGTTAATGAGGGCTGTTCCCAGTATAACGGCCCTTCAGCTGGAAGCGAAGCATACTTGCCCATCAGAGTTATCCTCTGTGGCGCTCGTGCCTCTTGTAGTAGGCGCGGGTCGAGACCTGGATGGCGCAGACGGACTTGGAGCGGCCGCGATGGATTACCGCGGTGCAGGAGGGGGTGATGTGGCACGTGAAGCAGCTATGGGCGCAATCCCGTTGCAGGTGCCCTCGTGCAAAACAGTTCAGGCAAAGCTGCTTTTTCTTAATGTAGTCGGAGCGACCATTTACATTCATCTCAAGGAAGCGCGGACATAAGCGAACAGGATGATTCTCCCTGGAGCAGAGATCGCACACTCTTGGGGCTGGAGTCACTCTGGTCTCGTAGGAATTAAGCCTATGTGTTGGGGCGCTCGCAGGTGTCGAACTTGGCGGAAACTGACCCGAACTGCTAGGCCTGATGTCATCGATAGCCTCCAGAGTGCTGACGCTCTGTCAAGAACGAGTCTATCTCATTCCATGTTGGAATCTCAGCCTTGTTGTGAATGGATTGCTCCCACATCGAAAGCGTGATTTTGGGAAGCTTTAAAGAAACCTTATTCACCAGGAGACAATCCCAAGTCTCGACTTGAATAGAGGACATCTCTAAGGCTGTCAGGCAACTTTGGATTGTGTCTTGCAGCTCTTTCAGAGCGGCTCCGGACTCTTGGGGTACTGCCTGAATATTGAAGAGTATTTTCAACTGGCTATTGACTAATAACCGCCGATTTTCGAAGCGGTCGGTGAGGCTTCGCCACGAGGAGATAAACTCTTCGTTGGTCAGCGGGGCTTTGGAAACAATGGCGTGCGCATCGCCACTTGTTTTGGACAATAGGTGGCACAACTTCTCTACCGGTGTAGGACGCGAGTTGTGGATGTATATCGCGGTAAAAAGATCTCTGAAGGTGGGCCAACGCAGGTGATCACCGGCGAAAACTTCGGTGTCGACTGGTGGCAAACGACAGCCCGTAGGCGGGGGTGTTGGAACACTTACAAAAGCCTGAGTGGGCTGGGAGGCGGCCTTGTCTATTATGTCCTGAAGCAGGTCCAAACATCTCGAATATACGGAGTAGCAGTAACTGTACTTGGATTCGAGCACTGTCGAGGTGGCCGTACTGTCGGTGGATGCGGAAAGAAGATCGGAGCAACTTTCATAGCTCTTCTCCACCTTTTCCCACAGGGCCCGGATTTGGTCCCGATGGACTTGGCACATGCCAGGGGAAAGTCGTTCTGGTTCAGCGGCGCTCGGAGTATGAATATCCGGTTGAAATTGGCTAACCCGGTCTGTTGTAGCAATAAACTTTTTCAGGGCGATGTCCATCGCATTTTGAGCCATCTTGGACACCGACCGAGAAAGCCTTGACGTGGGACCGGGGATAGTCTCGACGGACTCGTCGCTTTTTGCCCTTGACATAGCAAGGACGGCCGCGGAGACGCGGATTGGGACCTGTCCAAACGGATAGATGGGTTAGACCTCGGTTTCTTGTCGTCTCCCATGGGCCTTCTCGGACTCGAACTCTGCGGATCAGCTCTTGTCGACTGACCTGAGCAAGGGGCGTTTCGTTCGGAACGTGAGGATATTCACCGTTAAGCTCTCGGCGCGATCTGAGTCGCCAACGAGTTGGTCGTCGCTGCAAATGAACGCACGCAAAAGAAAAAAAAAACCACAGAGAACGCGCACCCGTGTGGATTTGAATTTATTTTATTTTATGTTCCTGTATGTGGATGCAGAAAATATATTTATGTAGATATGGGCATGCATGCGTTTATGGATATGTGTATGTTCCTATATGTGGAGGCAGAAAATAGTTTTATGTAGATATGGCAATGCATGCGTTTATGGATATGAGTAAGTGTATATCGGTACAGTAGAGCGTCGAGGAGTGGACTGTATTTGAAGTGACGAAATAGATGAAATTATGTGGAGAGAAAAAAAAAAAGAGAAAAAAATATCTCGACAGCGGCGGACTGTTCGGCGAACAGGGAAACTCCCGAAATTAGTTCACACCGAGTGGCTGATATTAGTTATGCCTTTTTATTTTTCACCTTTTTTTCTTTTTTCTCGGAGGCAGAATTGTACTGTACTATGTACACAAGTTGTCACGCGCGTGTATGTGTATGTCTGGATGACCGCTGGCAAGTTGGTGTACAACGGGGAACGAAAAAAAAACGGCAAAGAATATGGCGACGCACACAAAGCGGAGACGGATAGAAAATTTTTTGGAATTGAAGGAATGTTAAATTTTTTCGACTGCCGTTGTGTCGGGAAAACTCGGACGTGGAGTTGACACGAAAAAATTGATCTTGCTGCAGTGAGAACGAAATTCAATGTTCGAACCACTGCTGAAGACCGGCAGCGAGAGGGAGTCGGAAAATGCTCGTACTTCTCTTTTTTACGGGAAAAATCACCGGAGCTGCTGGTCGAATGGCAGAAGGATATCCTTATCCGGCTCGAATGGACCAAAATGTTGTAAAGGGGCGTTCTTGCCACAAAAAGATCTGAAGGCACAAAAAATTCCCACGGCGCAAACGCAAAGGGAGACGAAAATTAAGAAGTCGGGGCCGTCGTTGTGTAATTCAATGTGTTTTATTCGGCTGCATACATGAGACTGGTGACTTAAAACCTAAAGCCGCGCTCCCGCCCGCTTTGCTCCGCTGAAGCGAGAGCGGGAGATCGGCAGCGACCGTCCGAGGAGTTCGGATGCGAAACCCGATGCTCGCACTCTGGAGCGGACGTTGCGAAAAGCGAGCGAGGGAGCGCAAGAGGGGTGAGAGCGAAAGCTCGGAGAGCTTAGTGAACAGCGGCGATGCAGTGGGCCACTGACCTAAACATATACATTTATTTTAATAAGTTATAACTTATAAGCAGTTTAGTGGAAATCGACATCCAAAAATTAAATCTATTAGAGCACTGTTCGGCAACAATTCAAGGTAGGAAATTTTTAGACAGTTATTAATTCCTAGGTACTTTAGTAATCAAGGGCAAACAAGGCTAAAGAACTGGCCTGTGCAAGGAAACATCAGTACAAGCCAAAGAAGTTATGGAGTAGGGTTCTGTCGGCAGATGACGACAAAGCTTTATTAAAATCCAATTCTTTAAAGACTATTAGTGTTACCACTTGTGGTGGCCAAAAATAAATAGGAGACTAAATTAGAATAAATTTGGACAAAAGTACAAATTTGAGTATGCCTCGAAAAAGGTGCTCTCTTTCGTTTAGTCAGAAAGTAGAATCAAACCATCAGTAAAATTCCGCTGAAGTTTGTCAACGTCGCGTTACCCAGACAGACGAGTATTAGCTAGTTAGATCACTCACTCTAACGGGCGTACCCGCATAGTGTGTTTTCTCTCGCGCAATACCGAAAGCCCGTAAAGACAGAAATGAGAATGAGAACCTGGAAGGATTCCGTTACTCGCAGTTTGGCAACGTTACGTCGGTGCAGACAGCAACGCGTGCCAGAGCATTCGTTCATTTCATTTCAATTCGTAAAAGACTGCGCACGTCAACGCTGCGTAAGTCGAAATATAAAAAAAGGAAACTTGTAAGCAGGCCAAAAAGGAGGCCGCTTTAGCAATCCATGTACCCTGAGACTCAGGGTTGCCCGTCGATCGGATACGAATGCTGATCACCGCTGGCCACGTGCGGCTCGACAATTCTCAACCCCGATCGGCACATATGTATTGCCGAGTATAAACCAGCTAACAACCTGTAGACTGCGCTGAATACAAGCCGTAAAGCGAGCCACGCGCGGCACCCTTACACACCACGACTTACAGCACGCCACGTGCGGCCACCCAATCTTTTGGAAGGTTACAGTACTAGTCGGCTGACTGCAACCTCATAACCTCAGCAGCACGCGTCACGGCATGAAGAAATGAAGAACCATACTAAACCGACAAGAGTAAAAGAAGGCGGCGTAATAACTCTATGCGATCATGTTTCGGCGTCGCTAAGAAAGAAAAAAACGGCGAAATCAAGTACACAGCGGATGTAGCGTGCTGTCCAGGGAGGATCTCACTACGGACAGTCTCCGAATTAAGGTTGCGGAAAGAGGAAATGAAATTTAGAAACGAGACGTGACAAATTCGATTTAACTATTTTTTTTATATCAGGAACTTGATCGGATGATCTAAATTTGAGTTCGTCACTATTAGTAGAATTAAATTCCAGTCGCGCAGATCACACACGCTCAGCCCGTAAGAAAATTTATTTTTTTTTTTTAAATATCTTTACATGAAGTAATCTGCTTCAGCATTAGTTATTAATAAAAAGGACTTATGATCATATTCTGCTCATGGAATTCGTAAATCTCATAAAAAGTGAACAGCTTTAGGCATTTTATTTATCACTTCTGCTTGTGAAAAAACAGCTTTGAAAATCTCCCCCTGTTCAATCCTTATGATCCTGTACAAATACTGTCCATGTTCCATTTAAACTCTTCCATCTAAGCCGAAAAAGCAGACAAAACTTCGTCGTTTCCTATGAATTTGAAGAATCCCATTGTTATTTTACTTTCACTCACCAAAATTAAAATCACATGCCAACAAAATTAAGAAAAACTGAGAGGAACACTTTTACTCCAACAAAGTGTTAATTACAAGTCGAAAATTTCACATTATCACAGCCCTTACTTCCATGACTATTCACCAATAACACATTTTACTAGAATCTTTTTTTTTTATAAATACATACCTGTTGTATCATACTTTTAAAATTATCAGACACTAAAATAAATTCAAAAATAAATATAGTTTGTAATATTTTTATTAATTTGTAATATTTTTATTTTTTAATGCACTCATTAAATCATATGTTAACTTTGAAAGCTTACAGCTGATGAACCAACGAATGTGCGAAAAATCAAATCAATATTGACTCAATTCTAAACTTAAAAATGTTCATAGATAAGAGTCAGATTAGCCAGAAGGAGACAATAAACATTTGTTTGATAACATTTTTATCTCTCTGTTTTCTAGAGTTCGGAAAATGTTGCAAATCATAAAAAGACACTTTTTTCATCAAAACTGCGTTATCCTGAAGTTAGTCACATTTTACAAATAATAATGCTTTGATTTGAAGCATTACATTTGATTCAAACTTTATCTTGTGACTACATTGTTTGCAATGGAAAAAAGAAAATAAATTTAAATATTTAAAACTATAAACTTTTCATCAATAATAATTATAGAATTTTTTAAATCATTTAATACTTTCTACAAATTTAAAGCCCAAGCAAAATTATGACCCGTCACATAACGGGTGCATTGAAGTAGACTTTCCGATTCTAGGGCAAGAGTTTCGTGCTCAGTCCAGAGCCCTGGATGAATTTTTTGACGCTTGCCAAGTTCTTTTTCACCTTAGAAGGTAAAAGTGTCGGTTGACCTTCTGACTCCGGTTGCAACTGGGATTGGGCCCAAGACTTCTCTATTTTTATTGGTATCAGTAGCGTATCCTGTTGAAACTCTTCGTCTAGGTTATACTCGTCAGCGGCGTTCATCGAGCGACCGTTAACCTTACCGATCTCATTTAGCAGACCCTCGTCAAGCGGGTTTATGCTGGTTTCCTGGCCTTGGTCGTACTCTTCGTCAAGATTATACCAATCAAACTCCGCCTGGATAGGCATGTCGTTGGAAGGATCAACTACCGCACACAATACTGATTTTGACAAGGACATGCTGGGTAGACTTTTGGACGTGGTGTGCGAGTTGGGAAAGGTCATGCTCTTGTTGATCTCGGCCAGGATGTTGGGATCATGCTTGCATTTGTATTGTAAGTGCGATTCCGACTTCGGAGACCGTGGTGGTTGGGCGGACTTGGGCTTCATCATTATGTAGTTAGGGTGCTTCGGCGCAATGATGGCCGCAACATTGGGTAGCTTTGGTATGTCAGCAAAAATTTCCTCAAATTCATCAGTCTTGTGGGAGTAGTTATCATCGAAGAGCCCGCCAGCGCCAAATGCCCCCTCCAATTTATCCTGATCATCAGCTGAGGGCGATGAGGATTCCGGTGCCTTGTGCACGTCGGCCATTATCTGAACGCTGGTCACGCCAACCTCGGAAATGGAACAGTAATCGGGCTCAGTGGCTGTTGTGGTGGATGCGGAGCAGTTGTTCTGGTCTTCAAGTTGCATTTCCATCTGAAGCAAAGACTTATTGAATTTGAGAAGATTGGCGGGCTTAGGCGGCAGTGCGGGTGGTAGTTTGTGGGTCGCGTTTAAGCCGTTCAGTGTTGCTTTTACTTTCATAGCTGCAGCGACGGTGGCGGCCACCATGTCCACGTAAAGATTTGAAGGCTGCTCCGAACCAATGGGTTCGTACTCGTTGCTGTATATGCTCTCGTAATTAAGAACATCGCCAGCGGTGGCAGAGGGGTGGTAGTGTGAGAACAGGGGCTGCCGCTGAATGTCCTGATCATTGTCGTCGTGACGTAGCACATGCACCATGCTGTTTTTGGTGGAAAAGTGTACCCGCTTACGTCCGTTGGAGATTCTGCGACCAGACAAGAAGCTTCGGCGCGTCCGGTTTGAGTAGACGGATGTAAATGCCAAGGCCGATTTGGGGACCAGGTCGCGCATTGTCTCCTCCATTGACTGCTCGATTAATATTTGATTAACGCACTCCAGCACAGGATTGACCGCTCCTTGGTTGTACGGCTTGGCCGCGACCGTCAATTCCTCTTGGTCCGAGGCACTGGCGTACCAGTCGTCTGTCGTTGTCTCGTAAATTTGCTTCGGAGAAGCCTCCGAGAAGTCAGGACAGCGCCTTTGAACAATCTTGAAGTCAGTCTGCAGCGAATATAACCGCTCCCGCTCGGACTCGAACTTATTGAAGAAGATCCCGTCGTCCCCTTCTAGGTGAGCAGACTCTGAAGAGCCCGTCGTCCTGCTGCTTCTCTGGCTGGAGGGGCTTTTTGGCAGTAGCTGTTGACTGTCCAGCTCCAGACAACCATGGTCTGAGTCGGCATTCTCCTGTGCCGGTTTTACGCTGTCTATTCGCTCTTTTACCAGTGGGTAGAGGTGTTGTTGCTCGTAGCTGGTCCGCGAGTCCTCACGACTAACGCTGCTCGTGTTAGTTTTCAATTGCTTCTCCAGGGCAATATCGTCGATGTGCAGCGACCGTAAACGCATGTAGTCTTGGAAGGAGCCCGCTGTGCGTTTGCTGGTATAGCGAACGCTGCGTCTAGCACCGTAAAAAGACGATGATACGGTGTCATCGCTGGAAGAGCCCGACCCAACTGTGGACAGACAAAATAATATTGATTTCATTAATTCAAATGATTTCATTACATTCTATGGGAGCTTTAATATCTAAATAATATTTGTATTTCTTTATATAAAACAACAATTTGTATGGCCTTGCAGAGGATATTATTATTTTAATCAGAAGTTTTTAACGTAGAGGACATTTTTAACCATATCAGTCTGTCCGTTAAAGTTGCCCCATATGAAGAAATTTTAAAGCTCAATAAAATCTATATATATATAAGAAAGTCGTGTTAGTTACGTGTTAGTTACGTGTTAGTTACTTAACTTATAACTCAAGAACGGCTGAACCGATTTAGCTGAAAATTGGCAGGGAGGTACTTTAGAGCCAGGAGAAGGACATAGGGTAATTTTTATCCCGTTCGTCAGCATTCCCGTTGAAGAGATAAATAATCGTGCTTTAGTTTGATCGAAGATATGTGTTACCTCATGTGCGGTAATTTACTAAACAGGTTAGGAATGCCAGCACCATATCGTGAAAGGAATGACGCATTTAATCGAGAATTGGAACGGGAACGTGAATATGATCACCAGGAATTAGATTTGGTAACCAAACGAATGTACCCCTATTGAATTACCAATAAAAGGAAGTTTATGATACCTTAATGAAGGCAATCGATAATGAAAATGGTGGTTTATATCTCCTAGATGCCCCTGGTGGAACTGGAAAGACATTCCTTATGTCATTAGTTTTAGCAACTGTTCGGGCGAGATCTAACATAGCGGTTGCAGTAGCTTCTTCTGGAATAGCCGCCACATTGTTAGAAGGATGCCGTACGGCTCATTCAGCATTCAAATTACCGTTAAATCTTCAAGCTATTGAAGAACCAACGTGTAATATTGCAAAACACTTAGCAATGGCCAAAGTCTTAGCGGTATCAAAAATCATCATCTGGGACGAATGCACAATGGCGCATAAACGTGCATTAGAAGCACTTAACCGAACATTAAATGATTTACGCAATGACTCAAAAAGTTTTTGGAGGAGGAATGATTTTACTTTTTTTGAGTTTTTCCGGCTCGATTGAAAAATGTTTTAAATAAAAGTTTTAAAATTTTATTTTTTATTTTTTCCGATATATTTCGTTTGCACTTCGGCAACCGTCTTCAGGGCAACTATAATCAACATAATAACATAAAATAACATAAATTAAGACAATAAAAAACAAAGCTTTAAAAATTATTACACCTACATAATTTTACACGTCTGCACCGTCGGACGTGGAGATTAATACTAGTTGTTATTAAGTAAGTGTCTGTAAATGTGAGCGCAATTTTCAACGTCTGTTTTGTAATTCAGTCTTATGCTTGTGGGTGTGTTTGTTATATGTAACATTTCTATGGTGAAGCGTTTTTTGTAATGTTGTTCTTGTTCCAAAATAGTCGTTGCTTCAAAATTTGGTGTTTTTTGTATATTAGCTTGGTGTCTCAATTTGAAGTCAGATCTGTGTTGTGATATTTGAGTTTTTAGTTTGGATTTAGTTGTTCCTACATATATACTGTCACATTTTTCATTTATATCTCCATTGCATGGTATTTTATATACGACATTGTTTTTGTCAAACATTTGTATTTTGGACTTGGTCTTGTTGAATATTTGTCGTAGGGTATTGTTGGGCTTGTGTGCTATTGTTATTTTTTGTTTATTGTAAAATTCTGAATTTTTAAGGCGTTCAAGGCATTCAAAGGGAATTGTTTTACTTTCTGGCGATTTCCGCCAAATACTGCCAGTAATTCCAAGATCTACGGCTGCCGACGAAATAAACGCTTGCCTCAAATCGTCAAATCTATGGCGCCATGTGAAGAAACTGCAACTGACAACAAACATGAGAGTTACATTGCTTAATGATACATCTGCTGAAGATTTCTCGGAGCAATTGCTGACTATCGATAATGGTCAAGTACCTGTCGATGAATCGATCGGATTAATATCATATCAAAATAATTTCTGTAATTTTGTCCCATCAAAAGACGAACTTATCAACAATGTATTTCCAGAAATTATTTCTAACTTCAAAAATAATGGTTGAGTGAGAGAGCAATTTTAGCGGCTAAGAATAAAGATGTAGATGACCTAAACTCCATAATTCAAGATAAGATCATTGGAACAATCCATTCATTCAAATCTATCGACTGCGTCATAAATGAAGATGAAGCCACCAACGATCCAATTGAATTTGTAAACTCTTTGGACGTGCCTGGCTTACCACCGCACAATTTACGCCTAAAGGTTCGCTCCGTAGTAATCATGCTTCGAAACATAAACCAACCATAAATTGATGAACAATGTAATTTACGCTACGATAATGATAGGAAAATTCAAGGGTGAGGAAGTTCTCATTCCGAGGATACCGATGATCCCAATCGATATGCCGTTTGAATTTAAAAGAATTCAATTTCCGATACGTCTTGCATTTGCCATGACCATCACATGAACAAATCACATGGCCAATCATTAAAAGTTTGTGGTTTAAATCTAGAACATTCATGTTTTTCCCATGGTCAATTATACGTGGCAAGTTCACGGGTCGGAAGACCATCTGCGCTGTATGTTTTTGCGCCTGGTACTTAAATGAAGAGCAACCTATATACTAAAATACAAAAATGATGAATGATTAATATACGTATTTAATCTATTTTTAAAATCGGCAAAATAAAAATTTACTGATGGTAAAAGTTTCTTTTGATGATTAAAATACATCATAACTATAACGACCTTTTTCGCCCTCACGGCAGACTAACACAAAAGAAACTATATTTCTACGACTCATCTTAGATAAAGGCGGAATACACATATATTTGAGTCATTTTTGTCACTACACTTATAATAATAATAGGCATTATTTTTTTCGGAAACCTAAATGTAATTTATTTGGATATGTCACTAAAGATTATTCTATCATTTTATTGCAGCGTCAAAGAAAATCATAAATATTAAAGGAGAAAGGAAAAAACTTCAAGTTATTTTTATAGCTTTGCAGTAATAAAAAAAATGTAATGTTTTATAAAAATTACCAGTAATAGATTCTGGTATGCAATTCATAGTTAATAGAGTTCAACATCTTAGTATAGGTTTCTATCTAGCAAAATATCAAGATAAAGAGTTTGACCAATCATTACGGCCCCTTTTGAAAGTATTACCTTTCAACAAGACCAAGTAGGCAGCACAACCATCTTGTGCACTAGTCAGCAACATGAAGGCTTTGACTGCCATACAAACACAGATACGATTTTGTAGGGCCCTTTCCTCTAATCCACAAATATCTATTAATCGGTGGTGATCGGTCCTCAAATATCAACTCCACACCTTTGGAACGGTGTTAAAGCACGAGCCGTTGGAGAGGCATTAATTCCATTAATTGTTTCTCCACATGCCATTCATGATTGAACGATTTGACGAGCTAGATCTCCACCAACTACAAGTCCGTCCAGAAATAAGCCGGTTAGTCCTTATCCGCTTGAGTGTACCAAAAATAGCAGAAGCCTTGTAATGCAGCAAACGAGGCTTAAACTGGAGACAATAATTGCTATAAGCAGAGGAGGCGAATGCCGGAGAAATAAAGGGCATCCAGGTCAAACGGGAAATATACGGACCTTGGACCCTCATATGGCAAGGGCAACAAGGACGAACGGTAAACTGGCTCACTTCGGGCCCGCACAAAGAGGTCGCACCGTGAATGAACGGTACTGCAGTGGACCTTGGACGAGGGAAATAAGCACCTCCAGCGCCTATAAAAGGACGGCGCAAGCGCAGCTCAGGGACAGTACGAGTGCGAGAATCAGAGCAAGTGCGTGACGCGGAATAAGTACGAATCGAAAGCGAAGCGCCCAAGGATCAAGGTCGCAAAGTCGAGACGCCGAACGACGACAAGTCTACAAGACTGAGGCTACAACGCTGAGATCCAACGGTGCTAGGTCGTGGTTAAAACAAACTTAAGGAGTCCTTGTGCGGTGTCAGGCGATAAAGGTTGCTAGGCGATAATGGAGAACTCAGTTCTACGTGCTAGGCGAAGGGAAGTTCGCATAACATCCAGGGTCTAGGTGGAGCCGTCCCGATCTCAGTCACCCGGAGCAGCAAGCCGAAGAAACGCAGCAGGAGGCTAGAAGCGACGCAGCAGAGGATAGCGACAACGGGCAACAAAAGCAATACGGCTATATTTTGAGAAATAATAAACCAGCACCAACCTAATAGTTTCTGGCGTTATCATTTGGTCACGGGCAGTCACTCAATTTAAATTTGGTGGAACGAACTCACAACCTCTCTGAGCTAGCCGCACGTTTACGTAGCGAGCACGAAATAAAGAATCAGGTCAGTACTAACAGACACACTAATACAGCCATTTGCTAAAGTATATTCAATCGATGAGTTCTAGGTAGAATCATGAAAATTTTAATTGCACAACAAACACACACCACTTATTGTTATATGCCCTTATCATTATGAAATATTTTTAATTTTAACTAAATCTTTTTTTTTATTTTTTAACTTTTTTTTTGCCTTACAGTAATATGGCACTTTCAGGTCATTCCTTACATATTAAATGTGAATTCCTAGCGTGTAGGCAAAACGTGAAGTTAGCACGGTTTCCAAGTGTATGGCGTGTACTAGTGTGTTCTGTGGTAAATAGATTCTTTTTATGAAATGTTTCTAGCTTTTTTCCGCCGGTACGTTAGGTTCCCATCTCCATACTTCTGATGCAAGTGATTGCTATAGCCGTCGACTGATAAATTCTGTATTTAATGCTTGGAATAATATTTTTTCGTTTGAAGAAATTGTTCCATGTGCTGCTAATTGCTATCCTAGTTTCTTGTAATTTCAGTGTTTCTCAAAACACTACTTACATTATTTTACTAATTCTAGGCTGGTTCCATTGTATCTCCAGTGATCGTTACGGACATTTCTTCCTCACATATCGCGGACTATCAGAATTTTAGATTTTTTTTAACGTTTATCAGTCCTTGCAAGGCTTCT